GCAGTGGAATTTCACAAGCACTTAGTGAATCAGTTCACTTGCAAAAACTGTTGGCAGGATTGGCAAAAAAGACTTCGCACGCACAGCGTGTAATATAGTGCTCTAAAGCTATCTCAGAATCCGAGTTGTGGTGGAAGTTGACTTCAAAAAGTCAACTTTTCAAGGTATTACTTAAAAATATCGTAAGGCTTAAACTCTTTGCTAACTTACACCATTAAATCAAGTCAAAGCTACAGCATAGCCCTCAAAGCAATTAGTGCACGCTTTGGCAAAATTTAGTCAATAACTTCTTTTGAATGAACCATTTCTTCTAAGGCTACTGGTTGCTGCCTAGATAAAACAACGGCAGTTGAGAAGGATGCAGAAAAAGTGAATAACCCTAAACCAACCGCTGCAGATTAGGCAAATTCAATCGACTCCGATTGTGAAAGTAGGTTTTCAAGGCAACTTCACACAACATTGTCAGTAGTAGAGGATAAATGGCTTGCCATGTATGTCTTCTGCAATTGAAACCACCAAATGCAGATGAAGCGTAGTAGGTGTATGCGTGCACAGATCTGCGCTCCAAGCTAGCCAATTCCTAAACAGCTTTGCATCCAACCTGTGAGCTACTTTGCCAGTTCTTCCATTAACGTAGGAACAAGGCCGGCGGCACTTCATAACCTTCATTGTCACTGCCATTCACGGCATTGAAACCTTTTATTACATTGGCTACTTACGGCTGTGACTACGCTTAAGTCAATGTCACTTGACATGAAACCAGTTAATCATTAATAAGTAACGAAGATCGCACGCAGCCGCATTCGTAGTAGCCCAAAATGTAGCACACAAAGCGTTTGCGTAATTACGCTCTGCGCATAAAATCGCGGTATGCCAATAACATGTCTTTGCATAGTTGTGATAATTTCATAGTTATGACCCACTTTGTGTTGAAAAGCACTATAAATATCCCAAGTTGGATGACGCTAGTAATAGGCGTTAATCAAGTAGGCGTTGACTTTGCTACAGTCCTTCCTCAAATGAGCCATCTTTCCAGGAGCTCAATTGACTCTTTTAATAAGTCCTGGAAAGGTAACACATTGGAAGTGCAATTATCCAGTGTATGCAATTTTGACTCAAAAATTTCGCTTTACATAGTTCATCCGTATTAGTGGATGGAACTTGGGTCAATAAAATCAACTCATTTACCACCAAACCAATGCGATTGGTAGCTACAATCGATCTGGCTACTCATAAACTTTGTTTACAAGAATGTCAGGGATTCACATGTTACATTGCTTGCTGTGTAATCCTAAAACGCAAAATGATTGATTTACTTGGTTGCAATATTGGTGTTCTTTCATCGCTGTTGGAAGTATTCAGAGGTTTCCAAATATGGCAGGTAATTTATCAAATAGGCGTCACTTTGTCAACCTAAACTTTAGAAACCCTTTTAGACTCCTCCGACTAACGCAAATGTCGATTATTTCTCCCGTGCCTTCGTTACATTGTATAAGTGAATTTGGATTGGTAATACATATAGAGTAAAGATAGAAACTGGCAATCCATGCATAATACCAGACGAATGATGAGCAGAATCATTGGTTTGATCAAGTGATCTGTCCGTGAATACACTTATTGCAACGATGACATTCTTGCCGACGCAGATTAATCAGGATCTAGGCGGATTCAGCTTTGAATGATCTATTTTCTCTTAGAAGTTTAAAAATTTCCACACATTAATGCAAATGACGACATAAAGGGGGGTTGAAAGGAGCTAAGGAATTATCATTGTTATGCCAAATTGACTGGTTTATCACTGACCTATGTTGAGTTAAAGAGGTATAGTAATAGTTCTTGTGGAATGACAGCTGTCTAACTATTATGATCTGTAAGCATTCATTTTCTGAACGAGAATCGATGACTTTCTTCTCATCGTTTCATTGGCTACACAGATATTTTTGCTATAAATATGCCAAATACGTTTGACGATCGTGTTCTTAATTGTAATTTCGAATTTGCTACGTTGGTTGTCCTTTCTGTTGATCTCATGCGTGAAAAAGACTTTGAAATACCTTAACTTATTATATCCGGGGCTTGTGCTAGAGTGTTTAAAACAAGAAATCAAATTGAATATATTCGTAAGCAAGAAAAACACAAGCAGGAATGCTTGAAAATGACGACACAGGCTCTAAATTTCTCGAGGCCAATTTTGTTCCTAGGACACTTTGCAACAGATCCAATAGACCCGATAGCACTTACTTTGCTGACTTGATAACTACGCATTTCGGTAACTTGGTTGGCTTTCCAAGACAGCGAATTCCAGAGATGTGGGAATACAAGGAACAAAAAGGCACAGATGTGTCTCGTGAGCCAGAAGAATTTGGTCTCTCATCTGGTCAGCAAAGTATTCACACTCTATGACTTGTTGTGTTGGCTTATGCAAACCTCGTCAACGTTGTGTCCGAGGATAAAATGTGGTGGCGCTGTGGTCATTATCAGCAGTAATATGGACTTGCGAGAAACTGGTTGGTGCTATCGATAGCAAAAGGGACTACGAAATTGCTAGCCTGGGGCAATAATCCAAAGTTTATAGTTGTTAATTTCATTTGAAATTTGACGTATTCACTTCAAGTTGTGCATACCCCAATATTTGTTGGATGACGAGGATAAATAGACTAACCGTTTGAAAATGCATCTTCTGTATATGCCCTCGACTAAATATTTTTTTTTAATTACCGATGAAATCAAAGCGCTTTTTAGGAAATCAACAGTCTCAATCCGTTTAAACTGAAATCAACAGGACAGGTCAAGTTTGAATGGCTCAACAATTTTCCTATTTTAAAATTATGTTTTCCTTCTTGACTAGCATGATCTAAGTTGATGAGCAATTCAACAAAATGCCTAATCGATGTCACAATTTGTTTGCTGTCGAATTAGCGTCAATTAGCCACAATTTAAATAGAGGAAAAGTGGCCTAATTGGTTGTCTTCAAAAATACATTAACGTCAAAAATGTTTTTTACTTAAAGTGGACTTATAAACGTAAAATGCATACCAAAACAAAAAGTGTAATGGTTGTTAGTATTTGAATCCTGTTTTGAATTTTCAGGACGGTTATAATTTATGCCCGGCCAACTGCCAAAAAACTAATTTACTACGAGAAAGGTTGCAGTCCATTTATAGCGTATCTTGAGCCAGATTTTGTTAAAATTTTCAAAATTCATGCTAAGAAGAAAGTCGAAACATTAACTAAATTTAGAGTTGAGTTTCCACTGTTTCGTCATACAGCTCAGGCTGCGAAAATGTAGTACAATAAGGTAGCTGCAAAAATTCCGTGTTATATTACTCCCTTGGCAGCTAAGTATCATCTTCGAGTTTTATACGAAGCACTGCTATGTAAATCAGCTAGTAGTAGGGACGAATTAGCCTGAGAAGGATCGATAAGTCATTTGGAGGCATCACGTGAAACCTTAGGGATATCAGCTGCCTAGGGTGGTAGGCTAGTGCAACCAAATCCCCACATTCGGTGACCCGACGTGATTGGTGCTTTCGTTAGAAGTTGTAACAACCCTCTTTTTTGTTTACAACAGCTGTGATCCTATGGCTGTAGACTCGTGTTGGGTAAACAGCATTTCAATCAACTTGCTTCTATACAGTTCCAACGCTCAAGTGTGGTTTAGGCAAATTGAGGCTCATTTTCGCAATCTAAAGAATGTTGAGGGCCTGGTAACTTGGTCCACCAACTTACGGTGGACATGCTCTATCGTGCCAACCTACATATTTAGCTTCTGTAAGTAAGCAAGTGCCACGCAGTCACAAGGGGATACTTTATTCAGAACACTTGGAGCTTAATTGCCGTTTACAGCATAGCAGGCAATGAATTTATTTACTTATATCAAAGGTCTCTTTGAAGGCCGCGTTACATAAATTAGATGCGATTACAACTGCTAAGCTTGAACCAAGTAGTGATAGTTTAGATGATCAACAAGCCACCCTCCTTAACTAAATTAACTGATCATTTCCCACACCTAACTCGCCAGTCACAAGGGACAAATCAGGTGTGTCCATCATTATTATGCCACTATTGTTCTCCTCGTGACTCCAACTTCCATTATTATTTTCAAGTCCATTAATCCTTATTTATTTCAGTACCTGGGCTCAGTACTCATAATTTTGTTATTATGACTTATTCCACTATGGAAAAGTTGGCAGCAAGTTGGTTTTGACATGTCTGTACTAAAGGCATGCTCATATCTTGGCTCCGTATCGTGATTTGTGACAGGGAACAAGTTATTACGCCTGCAACCAACAAAAATAGATGATATAGGAATCAGGGTGAGCTTAAGCTGAAATAACCTATTTGCTAAATGGAAAGGCATGAGGAGCAACAATTGATCCCAACAAAGTTGCAAGCTGTTTATTGGTAATGATTTTCATTTTGCATAAAATGCTTTGATTTAAATCACATCATTGCATTGAGCAACTGCCTCTTTCCCAGCTGAATTCAATGTAGTCCCAATAACGCTATTTTCACTGCCCTAGAATTATTAGACAAAAGCTAAGTGGACGTGTAGGTAACGGGCAGTTCACTTAGCTCAAATCAAAGATTACTTAAGCATTAAGAAAGCGTTACAACTAATGGGATTTGTTGCCATTTAGCTAAACGTGTCATTGTGTTGTGGGGACATGCTTTAACTTATGTGTTCAGTGAACGAGACTGACTAATGTGGTATGAAGTCTAGTTCCTTAAATTGGGGTTATGCACAAATTTCACATGGCTTTCTTCAGTGACGCCTGAATTCTGCCAAAGTCACTTCGCAATCAATCAAATTTGTTTACACCGACTCACTGTGTTCCAAGGGAAGTCGACGATGAGCGATTCTCGTGTGCGCTGCTGTTAAAAGGCGAAATGTTGACTCGGAAATAAACTATCAAGCATCAGAATCAGCCCAAATCATTGTCTTATATCCATGCACCCCGACGATAGGAACCACTAATGCATCTTTGACAAATCGGTCGATGATGTCCCCGTACTGCTGTCGAGGTCTCATGGTACTCCGCTTTACGAACTTAGGGAATCTATGTTTTATATATTATCTATTTAGGAACTGGTATTGCTGTTTTGGTTCTTCATTGAGTACATCACTCGGATTTGGAGTGCTGGCTGCCGTCCACGGTACCAGACGTGGCGTGGGCGTTTGCGCTTCGCACGCCGCCCATTCTGCATAGTAGGTAAGCCACTTCCTTTGTTAACACGGGCAACCGCTGTCGCAGGAAATCCTCTTTCCACTACCGACTGGGCAAATTAACCACGGAGGCTTAGCTTTTAAGTGTTCCTTTTTTTTAAAACTGGCATGTCAGTTATTCCAGGGCATGAATTATGGCACCAGGGGGTCTTAGTGGTTGCACACACCACACCTATGCCAATAATTCAAGACTCGATAACAAAGTGCCGTAGAAGTGCACAGTTGACTTTTGCACTGTAAATATGTGATGCACAAAATTGTAAGCAACGTGGGAAAAAGGACGAGAAACGCAGGTCCCAGAATTTGCCAGCAACCAAAACACTCGAATATATGCACTTTTGCTAAGCCGGAAGTAGTAAGTGCATGACGAAGATGTGAGGGAATCAGCCACACAATCTGAACCACATGGGAATGCATAAATTATGTCCCAACTCTAGAGAGTAGAAACACTATATTACGTCTTTACGTTCTGATAGTTGGAACCCTACTGTAAGCGCAAAACGGTAGTCGCTTATAATAATTTTAAATAAGCTTGGCCAAAAAGCGATTCTTTAAAATCAATATTTTGCTATGCACTGTGACTGTCAAATTCTGATAGGTTCCCGTTTTACGACATATTCGTAGTCAACCTTTTAGTGCTATATAATAGATACAAACGCATCATTTTCTTATCACCTAATTCGATTGGTTTAGTTGGTTTAACTGAGGTCCCCGCATGCAATTTTCCGGTATATAACAAGAATAATTCAGTCCGCATTGGCCATCTGACCAATTTTATAAAGACGAAACCTTTTGTGAGAAAAATTGTGGTTGAGGAAACATTTGTACCAAAGTGGTACGACTTTAAACAGTATTAGTCTAGCAGTTGACTTTCACGCAATCTTGGATGCAAATCCATACCAGGAGCTTTTGTGCATACCAATGTTTAATAATTCTGGTGACATTACCTGTCCAAATGTTTACATTGGGCGACAATATATAAGAGTCTTGGCATTATAATGGGCACTAATTGACACTATGATTATAAACATAGGTTTATACCCCTTTCAGTGGGTCCTTAATTGTTCCGGGAGTGACGAACCTGCCCATGGTTTGGTGTAACTTGAGTTTTTTGCATAATGTCTTCTACACAACTTAAAGTCATTCACTCTCAACAAAAACAGATTTAGTTGAGAACATCGGGACAAAAGCACCCAAGGCATTAGATATTCTCTATTTAAAAGTGGACTCTAATTGATCCTGCTTTAGATGGAGGGGGCCATTAAGTGTACGTCTGCGGTGGACTGTCATCCACGTGTGTTTAGGCAATAAAAGCGGAAATTAGATAGGTGGATTACCATGACGATGGAATGAGGTCAGAAGAAGTGTGTTTTTACGAAATAGGCAATATCCCACTGCATAATGACCGCGGGCACAGCTGCAGATCGGACCAGTGTAAGGTCATGTCAGGTGCATCGTGTGGTGATGTATGGTCACATCGTGTCTCCACGGATTGCAGTGACCGGGCAACATATGGTAGTGGTGGCAGCAGGGCAACGCATCGGTAGTTTTAAGAATCGTGTATTTCGTTGTCCCCACATTGAAAAATAACTAATCTCACTTTCCTACTTTCATGGTTTCTACATTTTTAAAAACCATTAACGAGCAAAGAGTACAATTTATGACCTGGTAAAATTTATTCGTCTGAAATACTGTCTCGTATTTTTTGCAAGAACCTAAAATAACCCAATTTTGCGTTCACAGATATAGTTTTGATCGTGGCTAGTGTGACTGTCCTGGCGGGCGACAACTCCAGTAGTGTGTACGCCGCGAGCGCTCTTCGTGGTCTTCGTTTTTTTCAAATATTGCGCATGATTCGAGTTGACAGGAGAGGCGGATCTTTCAAACTTCTTGCCTCCGTTGTGTGGGCTCATCGCCAGGTAGCGTCCTCCTTTGTGCCTCCTTTAACGTGAAACCGGTTCCTCATTCCTTTACATCACTTTAAACTTTGGATGGTCCAAGCAAGCCTGCTATGCCATGTAATTTACTTAGCCCACAATAGTCAAGTGGTCGTTGTCGAAACATATAAAAGGTATGGGATTTAGCAACAATTAAAAAGTATCTGCAAGTGGTTGCTACTAGAAAAACGTATTATGCTAAATTCAACAGCTCCCCATTTCTGTCCATGGTATTTTCAGACCAAATGGCGTCTCATGAAGAATTTTGATGGTGATAAAACATACAGGAGTAAAGGGCAACAGAGTTCTCATTCAACGAAGGCACTAAGCTGCCTGTCAACCACTGACTTCCATTTGTTCACCACTTACAAGTCTCGTTAATTCGGACCAGATTACCTTCGATCATGAACGGCTTCTTGCGGCTTAGTCGTGATTAATGGCCGTCAAATCAAAAGGTCAACTGCCGTATTAAGTAACCCACAGTTTACAGATGTGCAGTTGGTCCACGTTTACTGAACTAGTCTAAATGCGAGCCATCTCATGTCTTCTGTTTATCAATCTAAACGGCGTCCTTCTTTCTTGCTTAAGGGGTTATTTTTGACTCTAGTCAAGATAAATTGAGAAGCCGACTAATCTACTAATCACCTTCACGGGTTTTTTGCGGCACTTCTCAGTTGTACAACCACGGTTCAACAGCGCCGGACTCGTCAGTTGTAAACACAATCCTAGACGCCTTTCGTATAAATCCACGTTCACTTCACTGCAGGCCTTAAATGAATTAAAAAGCTAAGGCAACGTTTTGACAAGGCGTAAATGTCAGGGTAGTTTGGCCTTTTCAAATACCTGCAAGAACTTTTCGCCGGAATTATCAACAAAATAAAATATAGCACAATTTTTCGGATCCCACACACCCGGTGTAACCACTAAAGATACCTTGGCAGCAAAACACTTTCGTGTTAGCAGTTTATTCTGATGCCCGAAAATTAGATTAAGAAAATTCAGCCCTGAGTTTGTGGAACAGTGAATTTTGTGGCAAAATTTTCAGTCCTTCGTGCAACAAATCATTATTGTTCGTGCTAAATTTGATTAGCTGAGATTCATGGAGAAATCATGTATTAGTTTTGAAATACACTGGCTAGAAACGAAATTTTATTCCAACTGCCATTTATTCAGGAAATACTCCGTTAATCCAATCTCGTATCAACGCTATATTAAAGCAACTTCATCCTTCCAAAAAAATTAAGTAGCTGATAGATACAAATACGCTTGATCAGAGTCACTGAACGAGCACTGTATGAGTTAATCGTTGTTTAATTTATAGGGTTAGTGATCCCCGATATTACGTCACGGATAAAGGAAATCTTTCACAAACGATTCATTGGATGGGGCTCTGAAAAATTATGTTATCTGCCGGTTTACTTCGTCAGCGTTATGGTTGATCAAGTTTGAAAACTCACGTTAGTCCTACTCCTTACCAGATACAAACCAGCACATCAAAATTAGTGCACTGGACACAAAATCAGGCGGGCGTGTAATCACCTTCAATCTCAATTCCGAATGCAAAATTTATTTCTACATTATGCTACTCATTTATTTAAAACATTAATTGAGGACAAGAAATGCCACCTTAATCTTTGCTCTAATGCATTATACAAATATTATATCCATTTTACGTAGAATGGAATGGTTGAAGTTAATGACATTCTCCTAACTTACTGTCGGTGTTCTGTAACAATCGATGGCTATTTTACATTCCGCAGGAGTTATTTACGACGATGTACATCGGATTTCTGGCGCTCATTTTTGGTTCATTTCTCATTTACCTGGCGGAGAAAAAGGAAAATGCAAAAATTCAGAGCTTCGCTGATGCTCTATGGTGGGGTATTGTAAGTATTTCGTGCATATCCTTGCTTACTGCTAGAAACTACAGGGATTTCAGCATTTAGACAACGTAACAATTGGGCTTCATAATGGTTTCTGCAACCAAAAATCAGAGATTAAAAGTTAATTATGGAAAAAATTTTGGTCAATTATTAAGTAGATTATAGCGGCATGATATGGCGTGAAGTACCAAGAAAAAAATAAAAACCAATTTCTACCACTTTCTAAAAAATATCTACAGGTATACATAAATGAAGCAGTTATCCAGGCAATTGGGCTTTGATTAATCTGATAAAATGATTCAGGTAAAAACACTCACAAGCATTAAAAATGCCTGGTAAATTATTTAATCTGTTTTGTAACTAAACAGATCACCTGAAATCACGGTTTATTTCCGAAAACCTCCCTCGCCGCGATTTGCCCCAAAGGCGTTTACTCACAAATCTTCTGTTTTAAACCTGGAGGTAACTTAAATGCCAGCAAAAATTGAATTTAGTCACAGAAAACGCAATTGGTCAAATTAAATATTTGTTAACCATAAGTGATTAATTACACAACCCGGCCGACAATCACTTGGATGAGCGAATGTCAAGCAACTCACAAATATCACGCGCAATCAGCCCCCATTGTGGACTTGTTTAAGCGCGCCGTTGGAAGTTCAGGTACCCGCGCCTGAAGGAAGTTAAATTTTATTGCGAAGTTTATCCCGTCGTGGCACTTTTAAATTTTTGAATATGCAAAGCAGTTAGCATGACCAAATGCCGTGTATCTTTTAACTCACTTTGGTCTAGCCAAGTAATTTATGGAAAAGATTTATGATCAAGGCAAACCGATAGGTAAGAGGCCATGAAAGGTGTTAGATCACTCTAAATAATTCTCGTGTTATTTAGAATTCTGTCTCCGTTAATCTATTGTTACTGGTATAATTAATTTTCGTGGTGGCTTCGACTAGCAACTGAAGCACTCAGAAAAATGTCGTATAGCCTGGAAGAATCTTTACGTGTTTGTGGCATTCAACACTAAGATAAAAAAGCATAAAAGTTAATACAGAGCTCCCTCAGGTAGCACATAAATCCCAGCTTAATTACTGGTAGCATCAAAGGGAGGCGGTAGGTGGAGCATCATAAATTAATTATAACGACTAGCCATTCCTACACGCTTCCTACTTCGAATCGTGGATTTATTCAAAGTTAATGTGGAGGCTAATGTATTGTCCTTTAGGTAACACTTTGTACTGTCGGTTATGGAGACACGGTGCCGAAAACATGGACGGGCAAGATTATTGCGGCCTTCTGTGCGCTTGCTGGTATTTCCTTCTTTGCGCTTCCAGCCGTGAGTCTAAATCCTATTTGTGCAATCAAACCAATTCTGGTGCCCAAAGTGAATCTGTACTACTCTCATATCAATGCCTACACAGTTAAAAATGTTCTGGTTTATACTCAGACTAATCATGACGGCGTATGCTCCATTCATATTTTTAAATGGCTGCCGAAACTTTGCGTGACAGTTCGTGAACAGAATGCTGGAGTGTAGGTCGAAGCAGAAATTGGGACTGCGCGAAGGATTTAAAATCGCAACTTCGACAAATTCCATTTAGACCCTGCCACCCATTTCGCCCATCTAATGGCTAACTTACAAGGTCCAAAATTATTCTTTGTACAAAAAACAGTTGGCCATAAGTACGCACAAAATTCTGAGGACAGTTTGTTACCGTGAGTTAAGGGATAAATCATGAGTATTATGACCAACATCAGTGGCACTATGCTTAAATTGCTTCGGCAATATGGAAAATTTAACAGTTACGCGTTTGTTAGTTGACGCCTCAATTTTGGTATTATCTGTTTTCGATACACTTCAGGGCATATTGGGGAGTGGATTCGCCTTGAAGGTGCAGCAGCACCAGCGCCAGAAACATCTAATCCGAAGACGCGTGCCAGCAGCCACCCTGATCCAGTGTATGTGGCGCTGCTACGCAGCTGACAAGCAGTCCACTTCAGTTGCTACGTGGAAAATCTACAGGCGGAGACCCATTTTGGAGCCAGCGTAAGTGTTGGGACAGCTTTAAGTTGAGTAGTGGAACTTAAAAGCGGAGTAAATTTATACCTAAGCAAGTCATTAGACAATAGTTCAGTGGAGATGCACGGCACAACGACCAACTCTTTATCCGAGGTCTCTGATTTGCCGAAATTGGGACGCTGCCTCAAACAACTGGACTGACTTGTCAGGTTGCCGAAATTAGAACGCTTCAGTGCCGGAATTTGCACACTGATTTCAGAAATTTACTTTCAACTGCATGGTATTCTGCACAATACTTTATTTGCAGGGTTAATGAATTAGGTTCTAATTAGTTACGTATTTGAGCGGTGGCGTAAACGTCACTTAGAACCTGCCAGAATTAATAATCACGGCATATTGCTGTCTAACTGGAACCAAAGTATCAAAATCAGTGGTTTTCTTTAAAAAGAGTTTGCAACATTAAGTAAATGCTTTAAAGTGTAATGCATTTAAAATTCTTAATGTATAAGACGACTTGTGCTTACCGAATCTTACAAAGCACAAGCGCATCAACATCGACAGCAGGACAAATCTTATTGGCTAATTCCAAGGGTGATCTGAAATTAGTTATTGATTGGGCAGCAAAAGCGAGCCATTAGCCAAACACGGCAAATCCAAATGCACATACATTTGTGTAGGTAAAAGCAGCGTTTTTAATCACTCATCCAAAATTTGTCAACAGCACTTTTGCCAATATAGAATATCCTAACTTCATTTCGGTGGCCTTCTTGGCCCTACGTCTAAAAAAATATTTGAGGATTTAGAATGCGCCTTCATCTGCCGTGCATTTCTCGAAAATTTGGCTAAATGCTGTCACTCACCGAGAGTGTTCAAGCGAGCATTCTAGCCACATGCCTGAGTTGCCACCTCTTCCTGAAAACGCGCACACTCTTTTAAGGATAAATGTCAATTTTTTGGAGTATCAAACATGCCTGCCAGAACTGATGTCACGATTGTAAGCAAAAGTCGCTACGTCTGTTTGCTTAACACCCAGGGGAGGACATGAAATCGGGCTGACAGATGCGATTGTAATAAAAGGGAAATTCATCGAATGCAATAAAATTTATGCTTTTACTATGACTTAAAGCTTGTTGCAGATGGAGTTGATTTAAGTCAACCTCACTCTCTTTGATCTCTTCTCCTAACTACTTCGTGAGTTGGCTGTTTACCAAAATATAAAATGCCGTACACTAAGGCTGCGACGCAAGTCAAGCATGCTACTTGATAAATTTCCATAAAACAACACGCAAAATGGGTAAAAGTTGGTAATTTCGTTGGGTTTAGCCAATTAATTACACTTTCGGTGCAATTTTCATTGGAGAAAATCCAGCAAATACACAGAAACTCCGTGTTTATGTGATGCAACTTCAGTTTTAATCGCAGTCCTAAAATTTCTGCTCCATATATCCCATGAACAAAGACACACGCACACAGCACTGGTTGAGATCTGGTAAATGGAACCTGCAGTGATTTGATATAAATTTGTGTAGTAAATTTTTTTGTGTTCCCAAGAAAATTAGACGGAAAATTTTTCTATCTTCTTTTCTTAAAGTGAAACCACCTTTGCGTATTTCCTTTCATTGTAACCGGCTTCAAAGCATTGTCTTAATCATCGCTACAAATTCAGTCACTGCGTGTCCATGTTGAAATTTGCATGTGAGCCTGCTAATCTTTATTTCCTGTGCATTTTAGGTTCAAAACTAAGCAAATGCACGACAATAATTAGAGGATTTAATTTGGCAATTTTGAAAAGTAGTAGCACCGATTGTGAACCTGATTTTAAATGCAAACAGGCAAAGGTCTTCTTGTTTAAACCCCAGTTTAGGCTTTTTCTGTATTCTTCCCTTGGGTTAACAGCACACTCACTTGCATTTTAAAAAGTTAAACGACTACCTTTTGAACTGCTTCTTGAAAATTTGCAATTTACAACCCACATTAGATGCACCGCCATTTCGCCTGACCTTTAAAGATCAACCAAGCTAGAAAGACTGCTAATTTTAAAGAGAATGGCTGCAAAAGTGATTTGTGCATGTGTGGAATACTTTTCAAAGAAATTGTCACTGGTCAAATGAAATTAAGACAACCCAAAGCACACCGTCTAATCCTGATAACAGTCGGTCTAGTGAATGACCACCTCTGTAGGAATGCCGAGGGATATTTTCCGTTCACAGCAGATGTTACTGCTGTGGGTCAAAATCCAAGCTCAAAATGATTGACCAGATTCCGGATACAATGGACGCGCTTGTCGATTGTATCAGTTAAGTATCGTTACCTCAGTAATTCCTATGCACAATTTGCTAATCTGTTCAAGGCTCGTGTCTCTTGACCCATTTCCTCTAGCGCATTTTTCTGCTTTTCATGTTAATTCAAGACCAGGTCACCTCATGACAAACAAACTAAGGTTCTGCGGTGCATGTCACACTAGTACCACTTTTTAATCGTTCTCCGCAAGTGGTACGTAATTTTCTAAAGGCCAGATTTCATTATAGCTCGTCGAAAAGGCTTCTTCTTTTGGAAAGGATTTTTTTAATTTAAGGAAGGGCTTTTAAACTCATAGAATACCGGAGAGTAGACCAATGAATTGCGCTAATTACTTGGAGCTAGAGTGGAGTCGTTTATGCGTGCGGGAGTGTAGAACAAATTTTATGATCAATGCAATACTCAGGGATAATTTTTTTCACTTGTCAAAGGGATTAGACTAGGGTCATGCCCAAAACACTGAAATCAGTGTTGACCATAATCCCATGAAAAATTTAACCGAAAAATTAACTTTTTGTAGGAAAAAAGCATTTCTTTACAGGACAGACGTTGAGAGCTATCGGTAATCTAGTTAGGCCTGTAGGTTTGCAGCAAGGTCCATATAGCAATAGCATGTTTTAGCACGTTTGACGTGAAATCGGATCCAAAAGTCAAGTTCTTCTCATGTTTAATATTTTCAAAAGTATTTATTGGCAACTAATGTCAGAAATTCGTCATTTTTAAGTCCGTTTTCACGCTCTGATTGAAGTCATTTATTGTGCAAAACTCAGACTTCAACAAACAGGCTCCGTTTCTGAACGAGGCGGCTTTGTCAGATTCGGCCAGCATCTCTCCTCCATTAAACGCAAAGCTGAGAAACTCAAACTCGGCAGTATGGACTCGGGAAACGGTCTGAAGTCGGCGCTGGCGCAGGCTAATCTCACCTTCATCTTGCCAACGTCACCGGAAGTCGAGAGAGAGCTCAATCATGTGAAATCTTTCCAGTACGCCACGGCACGATCTGCCTCGACTAGCCTCTTAAGGAAGACCAAATCCGAGTACAAAATATGCGAAAACCGACGGAAATTCTTGTCAGCTGGGTAAACTCATTGAAATCGTTGTTTTTTGACTAAGCTAAAAAAACTGTGTCCGTAATTGACGAAAATTTCTAACCGAAGGAGTAGATTTGCATGTTTTTGCATGCTTTTGATTCCAGCAAATTATCTTAATGTTATATCTAAATGCACCAACCAGGAAACTTTTCCCAATCTGCGTTTTATTGCTACAGCAGAAGGAACTCTGTTTGGTAATTTTCTCATGTGACAATTTTCGGGGACATGAGATGATGATTAACTCCCGATTTCAATTGTCTTTCTTTCCGGCTATGAGTGAGTTTGGGTAGCCTGTCTATTAGTAAAAGTGTCTAAAATTTTTGAAACCGACGTGTTGTGGATGCCAACCATGTGGAACACAATACAAGATCATGCAGTAAATCAGAAGGCCATTAATGGAATGAAAGCGTTTGCGGAAAAATCCAACCTGCAACATCTTAGCTTCACTGAATAGGCCTGATCTATTTTCCGTCTATTGTAGCACCTGTTATAGAATTTTAACAACAGATTAACCTTTGTCCGTACGATTTTCTTATAAGAAGAAGTAAATTTAGACAAGTGTAACTGTGGGATTCTTTTGAATGTGACTATAATCGCAACGTCAAAGCCTTTTAATTACAATGAAAGCACTCCCTGTGGTAGACTCAAACACTTGTGGAATATTCAATGCTTTTTGCGCACCCCACAAACTCACAGCCTCGTGGGAATGGTTACAGAAGATGTGTTAATTAGAATGTGCCTAATTAGGGACTTCAAAATTAGTGTGTAAAACACTTCCAATGAGGTCGAACGAAATCTTTTTTGCAGCGAGTGCATACCACTTAGCAGGCTGTCCAGTGTTCCTCTTATGGGATTCAGTACGAACGATTTGCCTGAAATATCCTTACTCTATCGACCCAAAAAATTCACTGACTTTGCTTTAAGTTATTGAGCAATTTCCAGTATGTTTGATGGAAACTCGGTGTCCAATCTTGGTTTTATGTTTACGGAGGAATGTACCAATCAAAGTAGGGGCGTAGTGATGACTCCATGCCAAAGACATCGATTCAGTGTTAATTCATGCGCAGCACACACACAAGATAACAAGAATTTACGTAGATAAGAAGGCAATTTTGCTCTATTCTTTAAGTTCCTGTCAAATTTTTTTTCCACATTATTTGTTAATCAAGTGCGCAGAAACATTGTGGATTTTCTTTTCTTTTGACTTCCCTCATTAACTTAACCTATAGCCACTGACTAAGTACTAAAAGTCGAGTAAAACCCAGGATAAAATGTTCACCATGCTGAGGTATCTTCTCATCTCGAAATTTCTGCCAAATACCAGCAATGTGTTGCGTGACCAATAATGCATTTGATGAATGTACGAAGGAGAACTTTTTCACATATTGGCATTTTTTTACATCGTAGAATAAGTTGCTATGGTAAATTTGCTTAATATAAAATGTTATCAATTAGTCTTTTGCGTGGAACGCCAGGCAACTGCAATAAAATTCCAAGCAGCCACTAGACACTATCCGCCTTTTTTCTCTTCCATGCACAGCATTTCAGCTTGTTTGTTGTGGTTTGTTTTAATTTCTGACTCAACCAATAAAGTAAAATAAAATGCATTTATAAACACATTTATTCAGCCACTGAAATTTGTGTCACACGACTAATCTTTTCTAGGTGGTACGCTAATAACAAAGCACCAATGCTACCGGATTTCCATTTTTACTCATGGTAAAGCTGCTGGTCAAAGTAGTAATTGGTATTTTGTACCGAGATTTAAAAATTCTTCACTACCTTCGTAATTTTGAGGGTACAGTGTTGCCGAGTAATATGCATTTTAACTGGAAAAATACCAAGACCGTATTTTCAGTATACTGAATAGTAATATAGCTCTAGTATCAAAATCCTGGGAATGCAACACTTCAGCACGGCTTAAGATTAAATATTTGAATGAACTGACCGTGTTACGAAATATTCAAGTGTTTCTCAAGTCATCACGGGGCATGGCCTGTCACCTTTGTTTGTATTTACTTCAATGCTCAGCTCCTACCCCCTAAGGGAGATTAAATAGGCTTGTTTTAATTGGTAGAACGACAATCTAAGTAAAGTTTCGTTTTCTTTTTCGTTATGCGTTTTATGCTTAGGCAAAAGGATTCTCTCGGACCACCGGAAAATAGTGACGGTGTTGTTACAGCCGATTCAAGTGATGGTAAGTTACGCGTGATGTAAATGCATTGATAATGGACAACAGTTCCTTCAAAGTCCCAGTTCCATGCTTAAAGTTTGACACAAATGACGTTTAAAACATGGGATTCTGGTAATCGGTTCTTTCATTGCTATATTTTTATTATCGATTTAAGCAAAGTAAATCCTTACACTGAATTTGCTCTGGACGGATGTGTGTGAAAGCTAGTGGCCTTCTACAATAGTCTCTTTTTAATTGGCAAAAGTGGTACTCGATAGTGTCTTCATCATTTCTGTTGTAGAGTTGGCGGTGTCCAAATAACGCTTCTGTAGGAATAAAAAATCAATAACTTTTAGCACAGCATATTCTAGCACCTCACTCGGTAGGTACCGTCAACGTGGTATGTATTAGGTACCTTCGCTGATACTTATAGCATGCAAATCGCTCTAGTTGAGGTATTCCGTCGTTCACTTGCTTTCCAATGTTCTCTTGCACACCAACCATACTCACATCCTAGTTCGACCAGCGAAATTCTGCTAAATACAGAAACTTCCTTAATGCCTAGAATTCAAATTAAATTATTCACGGGCACATCTTCATTAGATCAAAATTTTAGGATGCACTAAGGTGATGAGAAAATAGGAAAAATTGGCTCTATCATAAGTTATCAAACTAGAGGATTGCAGGAAAGTAGATGATGGCACTTTTTAATTAAACAAAGTCCAATGACGATATTTTAAGTATATTATCACAATTCTTCGCGTAAGTATTACTTAAAACTACCAGCCCTTCTGATAATGGTGTTTTCCAAGTGTAGGTTTGTATTGAGTTCCTTGCAGACACAATCATTTCTCATAGAATGGTCTAATTTAATTGTTAGAATAATGGCAAATATCTCGGATAGTAAGTAAAAGTTGTGTCACGGTTTGCCCGTAACCATGAAACACGCACTCAGACAACCGGAACCCCAGATCCCTTATCTGACACTAGACCGCACCTTCCCGTGCTGATTTAAGAAAAAGCAAGATCTCATGCAGAGAGCTTTTAAACTGTCTGGATGTGACCGCGTGTATAAGTCAAGGCGGATCTTGACCTGATGGATCAAAACGGATTAACACGGAAGAGGCTGTCAGTAGGGTGCCGTGAGTGACTCACCCACTGAGGTTACGTGGCTGGGGGAATTGGGAAAGCAATGACGAAACCCCAACGTCCAATGAGCCGTCTTGGGGATTAATAGTTCCCCAACACTTTACCGACCGCACGAATGGTAGATGATGTGCTCAAGCAACATTAATGTAATCTTGGGGGCCTCTCATGGGATGTTCCCTTTAATTTTTGATCATGTTTGGGAACTGCACAGATCTTACATAAATAGACCGTTGCCCCTTGTGAATAAGGATTCGTTCGCTCAAACTTCATGCAGGCGAAAACATCTTTCAACGAGATAACAGTTTTTGCCATAATTTTTTGCTGCTTTTAAAAAAGAAGTTCTACTTATTCGCCATAACAGTTGACATTAGCCTAGATAGTGGGTACTAAGTGACCAGCATCTTTGTTGAAATTAAGACAAATGTTAACCAGATTTATCACTGTTCTGTTCAAATTATTTTGAGGCTAAATTAAAAGTTATTGGACCCTATATTTCCCTTACACAAACGCGAACTTTTGCGAAACTCAGGAGAATGGATCGCTAATCGCCGATTTCGAATCTAAGTATGCAAATTTGCAGTTTAGGGGCAAGCAACAATTTGTGCCCGTTCGCTTCAAATCTTGAATTGTTGACTTGCATAATAAGGAGAAACTCGTGAGTACGTAGGCCCACTAAGATAGTGAGGCGATAATTAAAACGGTAAATACGCCTGAAATGAGGCCGCAAAGGGTTCCTGCATTATCCTAGATCCATTTGATTACCAGGGTAATCATCCTTTGTTGTTGATTGTTGAATTAAACCCTAACTAACTGCAGGTCTTTCGTTCACTTTATCCACTTACCTTCGATAATTCCCCAAGCTTTTGTCCTTTTCATGTAGCTTAATAGAACTAATTACGTTCTTTTTTCTTCACTCATGGACTCTAAGCAATTGCATACTTCCTAGCTCGTAGTGACAGTTCCTCGTCACGCGGCAGGGCCACCGAAGCGACCAGTCCGACAGGCGAGGGCCACAGTGGGAGTGGACCAAGTTACCCTGACATCTGCCTTCCCCTCACGGAAACCGACAAGGTGGTCATTCGAGCCATTCGAAAGATCCGACTCTACGTGGCAAGACGCAAGTTCCGCGAGGCACTGCGACCTTATGACGTCAAGGACGTCATTGAACAGTACTCAGCTGGCCATTTGGACATGGTGTCGAGGGTTAAGACGCTTCAATCACGGTGAGTCACCCGAAATCACCTGTTCTAGTTATTTACAAATAGATTACGATTTACCGACTCAACGCCAATGAGTGTATCAGCTAATTGAGCTGCGTTTCTTGAAGTACCTTCCTTTTTTACTTCTGCAGGTTTTATTGTCACCACCAAGTCTGCTAGTTAAATGCAACTTCGTTAAGTAAATCACGTTTTATTTCATGACTAATTGTAGTCTATCAGCAAACAACTGTTTGAAACCCGTCAAATTCTTAGCTCTTTGTTAAAAAATATTGAGACAAAATAACATGAATCTGGAATTTTATCTGATAACCAGGTCAGAAACGATGTTACCTACGGTAGACGAAAGTTTTCTAAATTAAGACATCCTTCACTTATTCTCGAATATCAGGGGAATTCACTTAAATTTCCGTTGAGATTGGCTTGATTGCTTTTTTAACACATCACACCTCATCCTTTTGCAATGACTCCCTCCGTTCTCATGATCCACACTATTTCCAGTTACTCGTTTTCGAAAACAATTTTGCGGTGTTTTGTGAATAAATAATTTTTCGTAAATAAATAATTGACGAGAAACGTTTGTACCGTCATAACAAAGGCATTAGTTTCTGCAATTTTAAATTTATCATGCAGTACTTGCTAGTCGCTTGTTTCATATTTTATCAATTATCGATTTTCCAGTCAATGCAGCAATTAATTCCTACTTTTGTAGGCGCAGCATTCTGTCTTTAAAAAAGATTGCAATTGACGGATAATAAATTAACCATTTTTGACACGGCAAACACAGAGGAAGTATTTAACAGCCCTTGCATTTGTGTATTCTAAAGGCTAGACATCATTCTGGGACACCAAGGTGGCAAATCACCGACGGCCTACACCTCGCACATCAGTCTCGCATCGCGTATTGTGGGAATCGAATCAAATGTTAGTCACTGACTATTTTTCGTTTATTTTAAGTTTTTTTTTAATTATGATTGCAATCAAATCACACCTGCAAATGCCATTAGTTTAGAGAGCTTATCATGTGCTGGTATTAAACATGAAGCCTTTGCAAATAATTGTCTTATGTTTTGCCAAAATAATTCACATGATTAAAGGTGAGTTCATTTGGCCATTTAATCAATTGTTTTTCTGGTGTTTTCCCATTTGCTCAAGTACAAAAAACAAGTTAGCAGCGTCATCAACAGACGGCTGATTCAGCATTCGTAATTATCCAAATTCTGCCACATCATTTCCATTGGCCGGCTTTGATTTCTTTTACTCTTTATACCTCCACCCAACACATTTTAATATGAAAAAATGCCGGCTATTTCACTCTAATGACGTTGTCTGCTTACTGCTCACGCAGAGATGTCTAAACCTTTTGATCAATCTTAGTCAAGAACTGTTTTAGTGTGCGCGTTGGCAGGACAAACTCAGCAGCTGATGATGACAGTAATAATTATTACGTCCACAATGTTAGAAAAGGGTTTAGAAGGGTGTCTTAAGCGGATAAGGTACAACATTGTGCAAGTTTAAACAGTCGTATTTTGTACATGAGGCCTACGGCCAGAAAATTTCGAAGGACCAATAGCCTCATCTGACACGTCAGACCGGGTCCGTACCTAAATTTACCATCCAAAACAATGATCGATTTTGGAATAATGCATTTAACAGCATCACAATGATTTATGATAATTTTCGTTAAAATAATCAAATAATTACTATTGGGCGTTTCAAGACCCTGTATTCGACTTCCACAACTATGAAACTTGAGCTTGGCGTAAAGTGATGTAATTCGAAAGGAAAACAGTCACGCTGTCATCTGTTGATCTCGGAGTAATCAAAAGAAATGTATATTTGAAAATTCTGTACTTTTTGTGATATCGTCTTAGATATCTGTTTGGAGATTACGCCGTTCAAATAAACAAGCGTAGTCGCAACCGATGTTTGTACCCACTTACCCGATGTGCGTGTTTTGCTGGGTCTAGGCATAAATTTTCCGCTGACCAATTGGAAGGCATAACGGTCCCCTTCATTTTGACCTATTTACTTTAATAAAAACACCAAAGTACACCCGTCGGATGCATTAAAAGATGGGGTCAGTAAAGTTATCAGTTCAGACCTGGGTGGTACCGATGTCGCCCACCACGTTTCAGCACTCCGATCGCAAAATAATGTTGTGCTATAAAAGATTCAGTTGGTAGTGCGTTTCTACCCACGATGTTTGCATTCATGCGGCTTTCACCAGCACAACATGGCAACAACACGATTCATTTTTAAATTTATACCCTAGTGTATTCAGTCCCAACAGGCTAGAGTAGTTATGACGAGATAGTAATTGGAGTACTTAGCTCCCAACAGGGCGCGTTTAATTGCCACTGACTAGCCAGGCCATTTGTTGAGCGATAAAATAAACTAGTTATGGGGTACCTAGAACGCTTATGCTGTCCTGGAGTCCCATTTTCGTCCCTCCATCACGTGAACGCGAACGCGCCGTATTCGGATGTAACACTTTATTACTAGATCACAATCCATGAACCGTTGCAAAAAATGGTCGAAACTCTGGGTTATTTCTAGTAAAAACCACATACGCGCAAGCCTGCATTAAACCCACGGTGGGAACTCCAAAACTTCTACCATGTTGCAAATCACATATAACAGACACATTAATGTGAAAGTCATTTGATTGTATTTGCTAATTAAAAGGCCATCCACCGAAGCTATTTCTCAGTCACGTCAAAAGAAGGCAATCTTGTTGGAAAATTGAGAAATCAGATCCGCTCTTGCTGCCAGCATGTGCTACATTACCCCGTTGTTTTCTGTAATCGATAAAAAAACCCAAAAGACTATTTAAGACAATGGTAAATTAAAAATGTTCACTTTATACTAACACCTATGGTATAGGCCACTTCCAGGTAGATTATCCGATGTAATGTGGCTGTCTACAAACTTACCAGGCTCACGTACATCTTGGAGCATCAAGGTAATCTAAATCCAATTAGATCCTGTCTAGTGTGTTCCCCGAACCACTTTTCCCTCGTCTTCAGCCAAAATTATAAGACACTCCACCATCTCCGTCATTCTCATTAATTAACCTAGAATAATTAATTAGATTCATTTTCCTTTGGATTTCCATACCTAGCACAAGGTCTTTGTTTAAATGGGCAATGAAGCGCTGGCGATGAAATCCGCGAACTTGTCTTCGTGGCTCTTCATTAAGTTAGCTTTTAAAAAACGCTGAGTCATACTACCAGCATGAATCATGGTAGAAGCAAAACATTCCGTTGAACTTCGATTCCAAGTGAAAAAAAAACGCAATGCGAAAGCAGAAGCAGGATGTATCTGCGACGCAAATTTTAAATAATTCTGTCAAAATCAATGTGCACAGATTTGCGAAATTACCTTCAACATTACGTTCGAACAAAGAATGTTCTAGATGGCTTTGTGGAAAAGTTCGAGTTGTTTACAAAGATAATTTTCCTTCCTCAACTAATCAAATGGTAAAGCCTGTGGTTTAAATGCAGAACCAAAATCTTTAGCATTTTGAAGGATAGCGAGGTGGAATGGCGTTAAAAATATTGGATCATTGTGATCGTGTCTACATAAGATTTCATCATAAATGATCCAATCCAAACACATTCGCCTAGTAACTCTCACTTTCTGACTTGTGAATAAAGAATGAAAATAAAATAATATTTTTTTGGAATAGCACACACAAATCTGCCATATTTGTTAACCAAATTGCTTTTAGGATTATTTGGATTTGAACTGGCAAATAAGCAATCTATACAACACAGTAAAACGCTTGCTTGCAATGTGCAAATAACACATGCACACAGCATAATTATCGAATTAAAAACCATTTTGCATTGATCAAGGGATTCAAAATATTACTTATTCATCTTCGTGTTTTACACAGGACCACTGATTAAGTAAATCTCTTCATCTGTGAAGGCTAAGTTACTTGAAATTTAGTAGTAATTCAACAAAATCGTGCCAGAAAATGCACCCACATCGCAACTTTCTAAAGACCTGTATAGATATGATCATCGGTTATCGAACTTCTAGTGGTCTTTTGCTATCACCTTATAGGATATTTAGATGCAGGTTACATAAATGACTTTGACGAATAGCATACCACTGAAAATATCTTTTCTAAACGCCAGACTTTGGTTGCATCATGAATACTTGCAGCATTTTGCATTTGACTTCAGCTAAAGCGTCTGGATAAAAAGATGGACATGGTTCTTCAGCTATGCCAAAATCTCTCAATCCAGCAAAATCTTAAGGGTAGTCTTCCTCCTCCCGGTACACCTGTCCTTAATCGTCGCAGACAACCACAACATCGAAGTCGCGAAAATTCCAGTCTCACAGTCAAGCTGTGGACACCCCCTTCTTCCTCTCTGGTTCATTCACGATCTCACGAATCAGTGAATGCTCATCCCAAGTCCCTGGAAGTCGTTCGATCTGAATGGGTCCTACATGAACACGACTCCCCAAAGAACAGCCTATCTGCCTCCACTAGCAGCGAGACCGTCGTGCAGCCAAGTTCATCCCTGATTCCCGACTCTATGAATAGTTTACTGGATTCGGCTAAACGACCAACTACCGCCGAAGGCCCCAACGATACGGAGATATAGCACTAACGGCTGGACCAATCACCTTTTATACACTGGTTTAACTTTCTAACTATCTTTCTATACATGATTTGTTTCACTAGAGTGTGCATTTGCTGTCAGACAGATTGTATATTTTAATACATCAATTCATTTAAAAAGCGAAAGGGTGGAGCGTTCGATTCCGCGGTTATTTTTAAATGTATGGGTGTTGTTAGGAGACAATAATGAAGAGCGTATAGCCAAATCTTTGAGGGGGTTATAAAGTGGGAATGAAGACAGGGCAGAGGCGTTTTTGAACTCACAAGGCAAAACTGTGTTTCCTAAGTGTCGAGGATATGTATGATTTCAGAAAGGACAGAAGATTACAAAGGAGAAGGTTTAAGTCAGCTTTTTTTAGCACCATGTAATTGCTTTTTGAGTTACGTGTATGGAAAACGAACTCCGACACACGGTAAGGAGGACTAGACTAAGAAATTAGAAGTCGCTGATACAGAGCACAGGTGAATTATCAAGTAGGAACTACCTTAACTCGTCTGGTATGAGCATGGTCATCAATGTAAGTGCTAAATACCTTAGCTACATTCAGTGACATGAAGGACACCTCGAACACGTCGGCATGCTTCTTTAAACTATTATGGGATGGATGCTATTGTCATTCAGGAGATATCCGTTCTGGGATTGACCAAGGCACAAATAACTCATGAAGCGACTTAAATTTTCCAGCGTTTAACACAATGAGATTATTACACACTACTTGCTACTTAAAACTTCGAAGAAGGTCGGTTGAGATGATTTTAGTTGGAACAAACCAAAATATTTATCTGGAATTTTACTACGAGATGTTTTCGTGTTTCATTTCAGTTAAGTAATTTTAAACAAGTTGGGATTCCCAGACGTCATCGACAAAATGACAGATTTTACTTCTCTCCTTACTAGATAGCCTTTTTAAATAGCATAAGTAGTCTCAAGATAGAACACATAATCAACTTCTAGTCTATTGCAATTTTAGAAATCCACAGTAGTTGTAGTGGGAGTTCATGTTGCTCAGTGACAGCCTGTGGGTTGTGTACGTTAACTAGCAGAAGATAATGGGGTCTAAATATTTCTGTTGTCTTTAATGGTGGGTTTTGTGTTTTGTATTTCTACACAAATATTTGCGTCCGTTTCCTGAGATTCTTTTGCTAATTTTGCTTCTTTTTTAAGTCGAAGAGATTAATGCGGCTGACACATTATAAAAGGAAATAAAACGTATGTTAACTATCTTAAACCAGTTGGATAGACCTAAGGTCCTGGGAGCCTCTTCTCATACTTCGATCAAACTTATCAAGTCTGTTATCAAGAAACCTTTTAAAATATCAGGAACTTAATTGAGTACCTATTTCTAAATCCATGGAAACAGTGCAGTTCTCCACAGTAAGTATTCCTTTGTATTTTTTTAAGATTTACGGTAAACAAGATCGAATGGAGTATGTGACAAAAATAATTTTTTTTAGGAATATTAAAGTTTACTCCCTTATATGAGCCATTTAAAAAATCGAAGTGAGTATTGTTCTAATTATAAAGTGGTAGTGTGGCGTCACTAAACCTTTCCATCAACATTTTAGGTTCCAGTTTGGCTGATTGTCATAAACGGTAAGCTGTGCAAACAGCAGATAAAAAGATAAATATTACCAAGCATAATGTAAAAACAGTTTTTAATTGAATCGCGTTCGTGAAAGGACCAAGTTCTATATTTGTTTAGTTTTTCAACACACTTCAAGGTTATCGACAACTGCAATACAACCGTTCAGTTTTAGCTAGCAAGTAAATAGAGTCATTAGTAAAAGGGATGAATTATAACATGGTCTGGCATTTTAACACGTACCTCAACGTAATGTATTTCTTGTTGTACTTTTATTATCATTTCAAACCATAAAACATACAGTTTTAAAAGTTAAAAACTGCAATTTATGTTAATCTACGAAAACAGAAATATTAATTTTAAACCAGAGTCCATGCACTAAACACATATTGTAAAAAAACAACTTCCCAACGTAATAGAATTTTATATTTTAGTAGCTTAACTGGATTTAAAATCAAATACTATTTATTGAACATGAAAAAATTGTTTACACGAATAAAATACTTATGAATACTGCGTACAGCAGTACAGCCACCTGTAGCTTTTTCTTATAAAATTAAAATAACATTTTTTCAGCAGAAATTTGTGCTTAATATGTTAAAATTTTACGAATTCCGCAGCCGCATGTAATTGTAAATCCAATTTGTTATAATTAACTCAATGGGAATTGCCTGTATTTTTTAAGCTAATTGTGTTTTCGGTTTTGCCGTCCTGATGTCGCTCTGCCTCCAAGTTTCCAGACATCTTTTGCGCAGGGGAGCAGTCTCCAGCCTTATATCTCCAAATGCATGTAGAACACTCGTTTGCACAACCCCGAACAAGGCAAAACTCGGGACAGGTATTTGCTTAGCGTGAATTTGATTCGTGCTAAGTGTTTTCAAGGTTAATTCTATTTTTGGTTAAATTTCTTTGAAACACTAGAGGATTTTGACGCCTAGTCTAATGTACTAGGCGCTATATTTTGTTGGGCCTCCTTGGCTCCTTTTTTCGGTACTTTTACGGGCCTTCCGTCGTTTTTTTGGCCGGTTTCCTCATTTTATCGAATCCTTTCTATTTACCTGGTTCTGTAATGTTCTAAAATATTCCGTATTTATGAGCCTCGGTGCAAAAACTCTTACCCTCCACTTTAAATTAATGACTTCCTAAAAATTGTTTTATCGGTTTGGAATTGCCGGTTTTTCCCCCACCTCCGCTCGCAAATTCTTTTTGTTCAATAGCTCCTCAACCCGTAACCTCTGGCCTCCTTCCGTCGTACCACTGGACAATTGAGCGCGTTGTTGCTGTTTCCATGCTTCCCATGTACCCAATCGCGTTACAGTTTGAGCCGTACTTGATGGAGTACGTTGTTGCAGCTGCTGTCTCTCTCCACGCTTATTGGTAAGTGTATGCTTTGTATGTCCTTTGTGGTGATTCGCATTACCTGGTATGTTTCTTTAGGGGATTCGGTGGTGTCATCCGCGATTACGCTATCGAGCGTAAGTACGGCCCTCTCGTGCCCAAAGCCCTTCAACTTATCTGGAAAATACTGTGTGCCTTCGGATTCGCAGGCTTCACCTACTTCAACTATTATGACATTGGCGTTATCAAGGGCGTAAAGAAGCTATGGTCATTCTAAATCTGCTCATAAGTGGATTTGGTTTATGACTACCTTCCTGTCGGTGTTAATAGTTTGTTCCCAAAGACTCCGTCCCTTTTTTCGTAGAACACCACGTCACCGAGTGTCTATCAATTACATATTCCTTAATTGCTATATTTCATGAATAAAAGTTGTCTTTAGCCATGCTCTGTTCATCAGAATCCCTCTCCTTCAGCATTCTCTTCGCAGGCTTGAACGCAAATCACCGTTCGGCCTTTTTCTAAAATAGAGTTGTAGAACCTAGTTAAACATGGAGAGGAATGCGACACAAACTCCAGGGGGTCGCGTGAATTGTTTTGTGGTCAATTCTTTCTCCTTCATTTACATCACACCTTTGGTAAACGAATAGCTAGCTGCTTTATTGTGTTCGAGCTTATAGATTGATGGTTCACTTCGGATGAATGAGAACGCTTAAGTCTGGAAGTGTGCATAGCCATTTGGTCATTGGGTGGTCCTAATCAACGCAGACGGTCAGTGATCCATTGCCTAGTGAACTATGCAGGCGTCTGCCTGCTTTGCTTTCCACACTTGAACGATTGGAGTGACTGTGAAACGCGCTCGTATGACTTGCGTTTAATTGTCGTTTCCGAGTTCATTTCTCATCAGAAATTTTTCAACTAAATCACTAGAAAGTTGACACGCTCAAGGCCATGGAACCGTAAATTCCTCTTTAGCAGATTTACGCGCCTCCCAGATTACGTTGGTAGTTCTGGAAGCGTTTACCCTCAGAAATTATAGTGGGGTGTAACGAGCACCGGAAAGCAGTAAGCCATACGCCAGTTACATTACAGAAGCAGCGTGTAGTTCGAGAATTGTTGCCGATTGAAAGAGATGTAAATTTAACGTATGCGCTTTTCACAACTAGCTATACTTTGATTTGTGCCCGTAGCAGATACCTTTACTGTTATTGCACTTTGACTAGAGTCTATGGTACTTGAAACACACTGAATAGTGTTTGCCGTACATGGTGCTGCACCTACCTGGTAATATAATCACTTCATTTAAACGGGTCCGAAGTCGCAGTACAAGCAAGTCGTCTTGTGGGTCAAGATCTCGTACTACATGCTGTGTCATTGTCTTCAACTCTTCCGCGTGTCGCGTATATTGTAGTGAGGTTGAATTGTCCATATTCGAACGAATTGGATTACCCTCTGTGTTTACTAAAATAAGACCCTGTACGTTTGTGTGATTTTGAATTCTTTCAATGCGTTGGTTGATCTCTGAATTTGAATCACCTGATGACATCATCTCGCCTCTTTTCTTGGAATATGCGTGTCTTTCGTAACACAAAATAAAGCCTCGATTTAAATGTTCGTCCAATCGATATTGCCTGATCACACGACAAAATATTCCAAAAGTCAAGCTAATCCTGAGACTAAGTGCAATCCTAACCACATTAATCATACGTGGTTCAAGTATTCCAACGCTCAACCCCTCATACTTCACGAACTTGTAAACAACTTTGAAACCACGCACCCATCTCACTCTTCCATTTACGCCAGATTCACATTTACGCTAAATCCAAAACTTATGCCTGTTGACATGTTTTCCAATTTTATTCAACCGCCATGCTGGCTTCTTTCTACAAAGGGAATCACTTGCTAAAGATGCGATCTTAAAATGCACCTGAAGATCCGCTTAAAGTAATCGCATTAGGAGCATGTCAGTGTGTTCGAAATCATCTGGCCGAATGTTTCCATCGATCTTCACCAATTCGAAATCGAGTCTATTCACTTGAAAAACAGGCGTCTTCTGCATTACTATTTCTTCACTTTAGTTGATATAATCTTTGACCAATAGAACGCATACACATATATATATCAAAACTTTCTTGTATTCGCGCTATTATAAGTTGGGAATTTATAATTCAAGGTTGCATGAACACGCGGGGTAAATACATGTTAACCATGAAAGTTAGCCCACCGCTGTAGCTCCATTCTGTCGTTAGATTCTTTGATCTAAATGTAACAATTGCCCAGTTAATCAATGCGGTTACAACCACAATTGAGTTACCTGAAAAAGCCTTGGTCGATCAATAACTGCAAAATTCCAAGTTATTGTGATTACAAATATGCAAAATTCATTAACTCTACACCACCACGCTCGGCTTTTGGTATGAAATATCAGGGCAATCGAGTGAAATTTCAGGTCTCGCCGGAAGAGATTATAGTAAATGTTATCGATATTTTACTTCATAATACTTTGGTTGAAATCGTTGAGACGTCCGGTAGGAGTGTCAATCGACAAGCGTTTTTCACTTTTTACCGCTTTCATAATCATTAATAATTCAACTGAAATACGACGAAGATTGTGGTGATCGGATTTGCAAGCAATCGTAAGCCAATTAGTCATTTAAAGACAAGCGACTCTTTCCACATTAGTTCCCTTTAAAGACTATATGTGCTGACTTGGTTTTTACTTCCCCGGCTGACATTGACGATATTAATCTGCGCATGTGGCAAGCTTAGTGTGAACGTCATTATACCTGTAGATGATTGGAAACCACAAACTTAAGCATTTTCGTTAGAAAGATCGGTCATCCAACTGCTCAATTTACAGAGTTGCGTTGGATTTGCATTTCCATCTTCCAATTACGTGCATCGTGAGCAGCAAGGTGTGTCAATCTGGTACCGTCCTAATTTCTTGTCTCACTTTGTTACAAAATCGAAGATATGCTGGTAATACCCAGAATCGCAGGAAAATTTGGTCTTATACAAGACCTCGGAATAGTAGTAACATTTAACGTGTCTCTAGTCAAACGTGAGGTGAGGAAATGCTTTTATATGGCAGTGCTTGGAGATCATTAACAACTGCACTTTGAGTTAATCAGCACAACATCACGCAGTCGCAAAAAGAGATGACCGATTAGGTGACCGGTAATATCTGCTAATGTCACGTAATCCGTAGCCGTAATTTCTAAAACGCACACCCGCGCTCACAGAACAAACGCGTCACGCACAGGTCACGTGAGAAACACGGACGACCACGGAAACAGCGGTACAGGCTATGAAAAATCAGGATGAAGTCTGATCACAAACAAGAACATTCAGACCGATTCGCACGGTTTCAAAAACATGTCTGAGGTAAAACTTTCCCAGCATAATTCAGACCACGAGGCCCCCCACACTCAAAAGGTTATCTAGCTCGAAATTTGGAGGTGGTTTAATCGCGTTTTGGTTAACTTGGTGTTGTTGAAATAGAGCCACATTCGAATTTCCCCGTTTCAATTTTCATTACATTAATGATCTGTCAAAAAAAGCGAAAAGTTTTAACTCCCCTACTTTTTATTTATCTGTGGTTAAACGCAACCACCGTAAGGATTACCCAGGGAGTCCTGTAATTAAAGTGTCTCCAGAAGACAAGTACAAAATGCAGACAGAAATATGCACTTAAAATAATATGCAGCAGTGTGCATGCGTGCGTAGAGAGGGTTGCAGTGGACGGAAAAAAACCGAAATGCGCGTTGAGAAATTCCCATCCTGCGCCACTCCAGGCGCGTGAAGCGAGTGCAACGCAGACAGGAAATCGATTAATGTAAACAACCAATTGTACTGGAGGTGTTGGATTTCTCCTCTAGTCCCATGGTGAAAATGACAGCCTAGTTTGATGTTCCAGGACGCATGGCGGCGGTGTCATCCGGTGTCGGCTTTGTCGGCGCGACCTCGGATTTCCGCATGGCTCCACAGAAGGCACAGAAGCGGTCGTTGCGGGCAAACTTCTTGCCACAGCTGTGACAGAATCGCGTTGAGGGGTCCTTGTGACCCTCGTCAGCAGCCGCGCAGCCCTTTGAACGGTGGCTTTGGGAGCTGCGAACGCACCTAGATTTTGGTGTTGCTGTTGATTCATGAAGGCTATGGCGATGGCGACTGCTTTTATGGTGACTTCTGAAAGTGAACTCAACTAATATAAGTACTTTATCACCGTTGTTGTTTCGTTGTAATTCAAACTACCCTCCACCTTCACCTTGTGACTGCGGTCTCCGAGTAACTTACCTGCAACAGTTGGAGTTATTCACAGTTAATCAGATTGGAATACTAGTATGTCGGAAATCGGTTATCAATAAAAAAGGGGTGCACTACACTACAACATAAATTTGAAGTAAGTTTATGGAACCTGATAAATCCCACGACTCGTCAGTGCTGGCATGCAAGGAAATTAAGACAATGCTAGTTTATGGGAACACGTTTGAAGTAGAAATCGACGTATGCACGAGGCTGTGATTTTAACGAGCCAGTGTAAGGGAATCTTGAAGATATCCTATTCGGCTATTAATCGGCAAAAGTTTTAATTCTAAGAAGCAAAATGTGAAGAATCTTATTGGTAAAGGGCGAGTGCTGGTATGAGTCAAAATAATTATCGATTCACATGTGAGTCCATTGCCACAAAGACAACCCCATTGGTGTTATCAACCACTCAGCTTGTGAGATTAAACCATCTACTTGCAATGATAATGAAAGTATCAGCTTCCGAGATCAACATATTTGTCAGCTTTAAGTTATCTTCGAATAACTTGTAGGAACCAAATTTGCAAAATATCAATAAATCTGATCAACTCAATGCACTAACGTGATCCGGCAAGTACTGTTTTACGTGGACCGAGTAACCTAGCCCCAGACATCAAGCTAGTGTTGAGCCAAAAAAACTTGATCTGATTATCCAGCTCGAAGGAATGCAAGTATTGAAGATAACCTAATCTACTAAAGGGCACGTAGGCATCACGTGACTTTAAACCTTGTTCTAATAGCCTGTTAATTTCAACTTGCAGGGTAAGAGTTATGATCAAGCGATTTATGTGTCAGACATTGCTCTGGAAATCTAATGTACAAAGGGACGAAGGTACAATGAATCTAGCTAAAGCTGAATATTGAATTAGGCAAAGCAGGAGTAAAAAGTCGCATTTTGCGGCTGGCGATCGCTTGAGTTTATTTAAAATATTTATTTTTTTTTATCAAACCAACTTATAATGGGTGCTAGTAATGTCATCCAAGCTGTTTAACGCTTGAGCCAAATCAGATTATAAGAATACTTGCCACTCAGTGATTTCTAAATCAACATTACTTTCACACGGACGTGGTGATGCCATTTTTTCACTTCCTGATTCTAAATATGAAGGTTAGTTTGTAATGACAAGATTCTCAATGAGGCAAAGACTCAGACAACAGAAACTGACGCCTCAGTTGTTTGTTGGTTGGTGTTGAAGATGCAAACTTTGTGGAATTAAATACTTAAACGTGGGATCTGTCAGGAGGCAATAATTTGTGAAAAAAATGCGCTGAATTTATGGAATGCGAGATTTGGATGGAATCGAGTTGTTGTGATAATTTCGTCACGTGAATTTGGGGTTAACGGCATTTACAAGACGTGGAATGCGAGTACATGCTTCCATCAAACCGATTTTGATTGAGGGGTGTATTTTTTTACATCAAAATTAAGCTCCATGTATGACGGACGACATATTTGCAATGTTGTGTATACTTTGGCACGTTTGTAGAGGTCACGGAGGGTAGCAGGTGTTTTCGATACCTGGAGGCCAACAGTGGTTTTAATCTGATAAGCCATTTGCTTCTACTTCTAAACCTAGCGACGCGTCAGTGGTTTGCCAAACCAGCCAAATGTCTGCTCACCTCGTCTCGGCAGGCTCCGACTCGCGTGGACTGTTGCTGTTTGTGGAGTTTGATCGGCTTGACACGTGCCGATCGATGCTGCGGCTTTCCTGGACAGCTGTTCCCGAAGAAAGACTGCTTTCACAGCCATCTCGCGAGGTCTTCACTGTTGAGCTCTCAGGCTCGTTGGAATTTGGTATTTTCAGGTGCAGGTGGTGTCTCTACGAATGAGATTCAGAACATGGGCGAGATGTCTGCCTGGGATTGAAGGTCTTATGAATTCTACTATAAATTATGAGTAGACGAAAATCGATGTGGTATTCCAGCCCCGGATTGATATTGCCTTCAGCCTTTTAGTCACATGTGTAGTCCGATTGACGTGGACGTCGAAACATCAAGCATCTAACAATCGATTTCAGTTGTATTTGCTCACAACTACTAAACCCCATCGTCTCACTGACTTTTCACATGGTGGTTTAAACCAGATAGTTGTAGCGCAAATTTTGCTGTAGTTTTATCTAAGGCACCTACCGTAGTTATTGGAAAACTAATTTATCATACGAGAATGACAAAGCTCCTTTTAACTGACTCAGAACGCGCATCTCGCGTGGCTTGTCGGGTCAACCACCGTAAGAAAAAGTGTCGCCTGAGAGGTCGAGGGTGGAATGTGCAGCAAGACATTGAAGTGCTCAAAACCCTGCCACCAAAGTCCACTAATTTTTACAAAAATAGATGCCCGGAATAAGGTACTTGCCCTTTTTTCGTCGTCCCTACAACCTCAATGACAATAGTGATGGAACAGTGCTTTTCATTATTAATAATGAGACATTGCTATATGATTCGTGATAAGTAGCTAGTTAACTATATCGAATTGATGGGGCCAGCCATTCAATGGTTAGCTAGCCGTATTTACCCTCCAGTGGATAGTGAGGATTCACATGCGTCAGCCCTACCACCACGGTCAGACAACCTGACCCTCCCTCTAAACGTCATCATCGCGCTTGCGGACATGTCTATTCATCCACCCCTGTGTGCATGGCACCCCCACCACTCACACCACACATCTCGTCATTTATTGGTTGACTGCTTTCATCTCTCATGTCCCTCTCGGCACACCTGCGACTGATGCACAACTTTGGATCCAACATGACGAAACGAACTCACAAACACCTGAACCATCTAAAGGACAGCTGTGTGTGCCCACCACTTCCAACCTTCAGATGTGAGCATTGTGTAATCGATTCAGGGGTGTGCTACGGTACTCCCACCGAGCCTCTACAACTTCAAAGGTTGTATTTAGTGACAGCGAATTAACTGTTGACAAACCATCCGGATTTGTGACGGCGAGACTCAAGAGCAGGAGTCTTGACCAAAAGTAGCATGAGTTCTCCTGCTGAGATATTCAGTCATATTTAATTAATAAAATTTTTAGTGTGGTCATGGCAAATGCACACCTCAGTTTGGCTTTTAAGCGGCTAAAATCCGAAGAAACGAAGTCCACTTAATGCAAGCAACTGCACCAACAGATAACAATCTAATCCTTGTCCTCACTTTGTGCGAATGGCGCCGCTCTTTCTCGGAGCCCGCATCATTTGGAAGGAACTTGTAGAACACAACCGGTGAGTCATGGTCACCGTCAACAGGATTCTGCGATTCATGGCGTTTGCTGTGGTGGCTTCTGTGGTGGTGGCCGTCACTGCGACGCGGCGTTTGCGACGTGACTCCGACCGCAAGCTCGCCCACCTGGTCCGTCGAGTGCTTGTGCCTCTTGTCGTGCCCGTGATCTTTCTTGTTTTGATGCCGCCTTGGGGCCTCCTCAATGACTGTTTCATTCACAAAGTTGTTTACCACCGTCGGCGGGGGATTGAGAGCTTTCGCTCGTCTGCACTGACTTGATGGGGAGGAGGTTTTTGCTGTCGCTGGGGCTTCGCTGCTGGCTGACAAGGGAAGGAAATTGTGATGCGGCTTCTGTTGGTGCCTCTTGTGCTTAGGTTTGGCCTGTTGTTCAGTCACTATGACCGCAGAGGGGGCAGCGGAGGTCGAGTCGAGGGACGACGTGGAGATCAGTGGCAAGGAGTTGGCCAGGAAGGCAGAAATTGAGGACCGCGAAGAAGACATGGCTGACGGCGACGAGGGCTGATTCGCGTCCTCCGATTCCTCTCTACAGCTGGCTGCTAGGTCGGAGGAGTTAAAACGCTGTTAGATCAGAGTGCACTAACTGCAACCCTGTAGAAATGCAGGCGCTTACAAGATTTACACTGATTGTGTCAGCATATTACTAGTCATCTCTGACCACCGTGTGTTATCTGGCCTCTGTGGTAACATAATTTCCTAAGTATTGCCGGAATATATGCCAAAGAACTACTCATTTTAACTCCTTTAGGTTGTCAAGCCCATGCAATGACGCGCCTTCTGATAGAGCGGTTCCAGCTAACTGAACCGAGGCTGTAAATCTTAGCTCTGTTTATCGTAACCGTGGTAAGGGAACAATACTGTCGCATCGCTGAGCTTAACGAAGTGAGAACAGCATCTTGTCATAAAATTTGGGGGTTAGTGGGTACGATTAGTGTCGACTTCCCTTCAGAACTTTATGCAGTGCATAGATTCACAAAAGCGCCATTTATGAAGCTGAAATTGGATATCCAATCATGTTCACGACTGATAATTAAATAAGTGCATGCGAAACTGTCGTCAAGTAGACGTGTGACCATGGACCATGTAAGAAATCCTTTCAACAATAATAAAATCTGTACTAAAATTATTTCCAGTAGCTTGATTAATCGGGATCTCGGTAACGTTTTACCACACGGCTAGGAGTAAATGTCATCGAAATAGAGAAAAAGCCAGATGGTTTTTCCAGAATGCTGCATTTGTGTTTAAAAGAATCCTACAAAAGTGAATCACACAGTGTAGATAATTTGCAAAGGTTGTTATTTTGATGGACAGACGAAGCGTTTGACAAGATCACTGAGACTGTGGTGATTTGGGCCAGAAACGAGTGCTCAGTCTTTAAAAATCCCTAGACGCCCACGTCAGTTAAACTTGTTTGATTGATTTTTATCTTTCACTGTGTTTCCAGTGTTCCTTTCGATTTTTATTTTCGAAAACATCCCCTTTAAAAAAGCAGCCAATGCAGCAGCTTAGTAGTTAGTATTGTGGTGACGAATCTTTTCTTAGTTGGCGAACAATTAAGTGTTTGCCTTTCGCCGTAAACACTTGGACAAAATCAGCGTGGACTCACAACTCTCGGTGCCATCAGCGCGGTTACAATTGCTAACTTGGATTGGCGCAAGCGCGAGGAGACTGTGGAGGTTCTGTTGGATGAATTTATTCAGCGCGCTGGATTCAAGCAAGTCTGGCGGGAGCCCCGTGCAGCTATTCGCGCCAAGACAGAGGTCAGTTGCTAATTTCTGCAAGATGTCCTCGTCATGATCAGCAGTGGGAGTACCGGCGTCTGTGGGGGTGGGGGTGGGCGTGGGCGTGGGGGTGGCGCTGTCTTGATTGACGTCTTCTTGGGGACTTTTGTTATCCGCTTCCTCTGCCGACGTCGCGCTGGCAGGTTGAAGTTTAAACTTGTGATTGTACTAACCGGAATGCAAGTGAAATCAGATTACTATGGATTCCCGCAGTTTGTAATGCATATTCACCAATTGTCAGCCGCGCCTTTCCAAAACCACTGCATTACTTTGAATAAATCCCAGAAATGAAACACGAATCTACATACATTGGTCCTCATTTAAATGACCTATTGGTAGGCACTAAGTTATGGAACTGGAGGACTGATATTGGCGAGTTCAGAAATCGAAAAAAGTGACAATAAGCCTTTGATCGGAAACCATCGGAACCACAAGATTGTGATTTTAGTTTAAAACTAATAAGTGATTTATTTTTAACCAGATCACTTAGCCTAAAACAATGAAAATATGCATTTTTGCTATTACCATTGCAACGCGCGATGTTTTAAGCACACGCAACTTGAAAGAGCATACCCTCATGCGTTTTAGGAAGCGCAATTTCGCCTCTTTCTGTTCCTCCGTTTTCTCGGATTGGGCAGCTGCCTGCTTTTCCCTGCACTGGTCCCTGTGCTTGAGCAGCGCGGCCTCGTTGAATTTCCTTTCACAAAATTCGCATTGAATCAAACCTAAAACAGGCAAATTACGCATAGTTTGCTCAAAAGTAGCCTGAAACTGGGAGATCTGGTTATCGCCAACGTCGTGGTAGGCAGACACTCTGCAATCCCTGTTGTCAAAATGTTCGCCATACTCATTTTCATGTGGTCGCTCACGCAAAGTCTGGCAGGGCAAAATCCTCCGATAATTTCCTCGTCATCATTAAAAATGCTTCCATTCCAGTACAAAATGTGTAAAAATTATAAAATACCGTGACTACTTAAAAACTTTTTCATGAGTTATTATTGTAGTGCGCTTTGCAGTGCAACAAGGTTTGATAATCCAACAGACAGGACCATTTTATTACTGGTTGCATGGAACTGTGCTCAATTTCTAGAGCTTTTGGAGAAAACAAACATTACCGTTCAGCTGTCATCAGCAAGGAATAATTTAATTCACATTACAATTTGAGGAAAGACGGGAAAATTGTGCTTAAACGGAAACATAGGAGTGATTTATGATTAAAAATACAATTCAAGAGTAAATGCGCCATAAACGAAAATGAACGCCTGGTAGCAACAAATCATTCCTTCGTAACATACCCGCCTGGGTAATTGTAGGTGACAGTGGTTTAACATCGGGCACAATTTCACCACGTTCCTTTAGATAATTAACCTTGGCTGTTCTAACGGAATGCAGAAATTCTTCATGCCGCATCCGCCATCGCATTCTACGCTCGGCGCCCAAAGCCAGCATGTCTGCGAACGTTTTGACTTTAACGTAGTATCCTGTGACGTGGCCTTGAATGAAAGGACCTGGTGCGGCTGCGTTTTTTTTCTCCTTTGGACAATTTGAGCGCATCCACTCGCGTTCACAAGCAGGCTCGTGTTTTTGCTGCAAAGATAGTCAACATAATTGGGTCACAATTCACGTTGGCAAATTTCTACAAAAACCTAAGGCGTCAAGCATTACAAAAGAAGAAAATGCACCAGGGCATCATCACCAAAACCGAATTCGGCTCAACAACACGTTCTTTTGGTTGGAATGTTGTAATTCTGTATCTGTAAATGAAAGTTCCAATGGGTACAGCTTCATCCACTGGGATTTGTGTTGTCATTTTAATTGGAGTGGAGCAAATAAAAACTAAATTCCTTACTTTTTACCAAATAACACGCTTGTTCTCGTGTTGTGTACAAAACCCACATATGGAAAAATAATTACATTTATTCTACTTAAGTCAGAATAGTCATGCCAACGATATTCAATTCACAAGTTGAGACAATTGCGTTGATCGAAACTGACACGCTGAGTTTTTAACTAAAGGGCCCAGAAAACGATGAGACAAACCATTAAATAATATGGAGTATAAACTTTAAAAGGTAGATTCTTTACTTATAGATCAACAATTGTTTAAGGGTACCACTGATAATTTAGCTCCATTGTTCTTCTTGTAAATAGGTCGCACTAAGTTAGAAAATCTTTATTGGTACAAAAAATATTAAAAAGCAAAATTAAACGCTTTATTTAGAAAATCATCAAAAAATTGAACTCTCACGCGGTTGATCAACAGGCAGGTTCAAAATGGTGTATGTAGGGATACATGTGTAATTAGGGGTTATAAGGACAAATTAAAAAAAAATTGGGTTTATATTTATAAAACAATTAAATCTAGGGACATACCACCATTTAAAGTTTAAAAAAGTAATCGCCTTAAAGACGCAGGCCTTTTATTCAATATGTCAGTACCGATGGAAAAGGAACAGCTAACTGAACCTGTTATGCGACCACAGGGCACTGTAACCATTTAATCATTTACGCGATCATGACCATGGCACTCTTGCTGCAGCAAATCATCATGTTATTAAAATAATGACAATTACTAGTATTCTTGTCAAAACAAAAAGCAAAGCAGCAAAAAAGGTATTAGGTACAGATCAAAGAGAACTAAATAGGAAAAAAATGTTGCTGTCCTTAAGGTGTAATGTATACTTATGTCAGTTCTTGTCTTGCTAATTATAATACAAGTAAATTACCTCACAGATACCGTAAAACAAAAAAGACCTGCTGAAGACGGAATTTTACGGGCAGGAAGAGCACCTGGTGTAATCTAATGATAAATCAAAACCCTAGACCAATACACTTAAAAAACCAGGATCTAAATTGACAAAACAATTTACACGAATACCTCAAACTCAAAAGCTGCATACAAAACACAAGTACATATGCATATGTACAGAAAGGTTCAATTTTGCGTTCGGACGGTCCATGCATAAATTCTGCATGAAAAGGACATTAACATAAATTTGCTAAATTTTTAAACACGTGTAATAAACAAATATTATAGAAATTTCCAGCGGTACATGAACATAAGCAATTATGTAGGCACATAATAAGGAAAAAAAGAATAATAAATATTGGTTAACTGTATTTAATTAAGCTCACCAAGGATTCAGGGAAAAAGCGACGATGGCAGAAGTTACATTCAGAAAGTAACAATGTTTCTGGTGCAACTATAACACATAAAATTATTAAGTAAGTTTTACCATATTCCGTCTCCATCGAAAAGGCAAATAATATTTAAAAACGTGGGCTACATGTGATCAAACTAGACTAACTTGATTAAACAAAGTAGCAAAAAATCAACATTGATCAGAAGCAAAATCTTATTTAATCAACCCTAAAATTTATGTATATTGCTTAGTTTTTATATCTAGTCAGTATCTGCACCTAATGTGTCGAATAATGCATTAATTTGTGAGCACCAAAAGTGGAATCCGATAAATCGAAAGTAGCATGCTAGCATCTTATCAAATGCATATTTGCCACCGACATTACTTAATTTTAAATATTCTCACGAAATAAAAAAGATCTTTATCTTACTAAACATAGCATTTTGCATCTGTACATGTTAAGCAAATTTAGATAAATTAAAACGATTTCCAAGATAGATTTATGGACGTTGTGTAAGTAATTATTGTGCATGTGAACATGTCAACTGGATAAATCAATTTCAATGTGTTATGCACTGAAATTTATTAAGTTTTTGAGTTTTAAACCCTATTTCGCAAAAAATATTTATTTTCCTATGTAAAACAATCTTTCTCGAAAAACCTTCATAAAGTTTAAATTTCTTTAAGAAAATTAATATATTGTTTATTGTAGAAGACAACTTTTGATTACATTTTGAGCACTGTGAGTAGTAAGGTAATTTCCATGCCAAGCCGTGATCAACATCACTCAATTTTTTGACGTCACATTACCTGTTATGATTGCCAAAGAACACTCCATATAGTAGCATATAAATACTTAATACTAGTCGAATTAGTGATGGCTTTAATTTCTGATGCCTATATTTGAATTGTAAACTAATTTCTGCACCCGTCTCGTTGCCTAAATCGTAGGATCCAGCTTTAGTGAGTCTCGAATTACGCAATATTTTGGATTGCTGCTTTGCTTATATTTGCTTGGCTGCACTTACCATTATTGGTTTCCATTGCTCCCTCAAATTAATATTTGTTTGCATTTACCACGTAATTTTATCTAACCAATGAAATAGAGACACATTTTTACCCACGCGCGCGCCGCTTTTGTGGGTCAACTTGTCGTTTTTGTCGTTTTGCCGTCTCGTAATGGTGTGCTGGGTTAAGTGCTCCTGCCTTGTGCTAACGGTATGGGTTTCCGTTTCGTTGCTTCTTGTGTCATGTGACACATCAGCTCACGATGAAGGACTTAATGTTAAACAGACTACAGTGACAGACTCTGGGTTAGTTTTTTTTTCATTTTTATGTTTATGTCTTAGTTTATCCAATGAGGCTTTAAGGCAACTGACTGAAAATTCTGATGAACATTTATTTTCGGCGGAAGTACCAAAGATGATGAAACTCATAATAAATTCGGTGTATTCGAATAAAGAGGTAGGTCTCTGCTCAGCGATGTGGTTACTTTCAGATATTTGTTCGCGAACTTGTTTCAAATGCTGCTGATGCGGTCGAAAATATCCGCTTCCTCTCCATAACGAACACAGACGCATTGTCATCTCTGCCAGACTTGTCAATTATGATCAAAACTGATCCGCAGGAAAAAATAATTTCAATAAGAGATACTGGTATTGGAATGACAAAAGACGAGTTGGTCAAAAATTTGGGCACAATTGCAAAATCTGGCACCTCTGAGCTTATTGCAAAGCTTTCTGAAGGAAATGTTACCGCTCCTTCTGACCTCATTGGCCAATTCGGCGTAGGATTTTACTCGGCGTTTTTAGGTATGTTATTCCCGATATTATTTTCGACCGTTCTTAGTTGCTGATCGTGTAACTGTCATTTCAAAGAGTAACGATGATGATCAGTATGTTTGGGAGTCGGACTCCACATCTTTCAAAATCGCAAAAGACCCCAGAGGCAATACACTTGGTCGCGGTACTGAGGTTATTTTGCATTTGAAGGATGAGGCAAAAGAGTATCTGCAGCCAGAAGTTTTGAAAAGGATTCTTAAAAAGTATAGTCAGTTTGTCATGTGCCCGATCAAACTGTGGGAAAGTCACACTGAAAAGGTTGAAGTTGAGACGGATGAGGAAGAATCAGATTCGTCCGGTGAAGTTTCGGTAAATCCCTTACAATACTAACTAAGGACTTCTTTTTCAGGTGGAAGAGGATAAGCCTAAAGCAGAGAAAAAGACTACCGAAAAAACTGTCTGGGACTGGGTTCAGTTAAATGACCAGAAGCCTATTTGGACTAAAAAGCCTTCCGAAGTAGCGGTCGAAGACTACAAGGAACTTTTCAAAATATTATCTCGGTCGAGTGAGAGCCCACTTGCGTATATCCACTTTTCCGCCGAGGGCGAGGTATCGTTTAACGCCGTTCTCTTTATCAGCCCAACCCCACGTCCCGACTTTTTCCAAACCGATAAGATAATCACTGACAACATTAAGGTAAACTGTTTTAAGTGTTTCAACTGTTTCTTTAGCTATACGTTAGAAGAGTATTTATAACAGAAAATGTCGATGAGATGCTCCCTCGTTACTTGAGCTTCGTTTACGGCATTGTTGACAGTGACAATCTCCCACTAAATGTTTCACGCGAAACCCTGCAGCAGCTCAAACTTCTTAAGCTCATTAAGAAAAAGCTGGTTCGCAAAGTTATTGAGATGCTTCAGAAGATGTCCAAAGAGGATTACGAGAAGTTTTGGAAGGCATACGCTGTTGCGATAAAGTTAGGTATCCTCCAGGATATGCCCAACAAAGCACGACTGACTGACCTCTTGCGTTTTCATACGTCCAAGTCAGAGACAAACCTCACGTCTTTCAGTGAGTACATTTCTCGTATGAAGGAGGATCAGGATCGTATATTTTACATCAATGGGCAAAACCTGGACGAGGTCAAGAACTCCCCCTTCGTTGAGCGCGTCACACGGATGGGTTATGAGGTTATCTACTTTACTGAACCCATGGACGAATATGTAATGCAGTCGCTGAACGAGGTTAAGGATAAGAAGACTCAAAATCTAGCGAAGGCAGGTCTTGACTTGAAACTAGACAAGGAATCAAAGGAGAAGTTCGAAGAACAGGAGAAATCATTTAAGCCACTAACCGATTGGCTGAAGAATACAGGCCTATCCGGTAAAATCAAAGACGCCAAGATCTCCCAGCGTCTTGAGAACAGTCCTTGTGCGCTAGTGGCTGATGAGTACACGTTGTCAGGGAATTTCCAAAGAATAATCATGTCACAAGCATATGCCACTTCTGATTCCTCTAGTAACGCTTACTACCTCAACCAAAAGCACACACTGGAGATCAACCCTCGTCACCCTCTCATAAAGGAGTTGAATGAGCGCATCCAGCTTGATCCTAACGATGAAGCTGCCAAAGAAAACACTCTCCTGCTGTTCGACACAGCTCTTTTGCGCTCTGGGTTCATCATGAAAGACCTCCCTGGCTTCGCCGATCGTGTTGAACGTGTGATGCGCAAAAACTTGGACGTCGGATTGGATGAGAAGGTAGAGCCTGATGAGCAAATCCCACAGACGCCGGATGACAACAAGGATGATGTCACAAACACCGAGGTCAGTGTTGTTATATTTCATTTTTTTTTGCAAATTTGTAATAAGTCGTTCCACAAGTTTCATGTAAATCAGAGCGAATTATTTCGTTGCCGAAACTTGACGCAATTTAACCTCGGTGCATACTTGTAAATCAGCCTGGAAAAAGTATTGTAACTATCCATATCGACATCACGTTTTGTACAAATGCCTAGATTGGCTGTTCACGCAACGCTGGTGCTACCACGGTTGGCTTCTAATGGATCTCTTTACTTTTCAGGCGGAGTCAGTGGATGTGAAGGAGGAATTGTGAGGCGGCTGATAACCCGGCATTTATGTTTTATGTTGGCCCTGTACATTGAAGCACTAATGACTTTTCTACACACACTTGTTATGAGTGGTAAAATAAACGTCGTTCGTCTTGTTGATTTACCTGCGTAGTTTTTATGCAACACGAACGTCATAAATGTGTTCGACCTTCTCATTTTTGTTGGAGATATGCTAGTGTGCCATTCTCTCTACTCCAACCACACACCGTGTTGGGCATGCCTTCACTAAGGCCTGGATTTGACCGTCAACTTGGGCTTGGTGTTAATGGTCCCTAGGTGCTGGGTGGCATAATGGCTTACAGCAGTAGTGTCAGCACGTCAGGGTGGTGGGCTTTAGTGAGTAGGTTCATTGGCGGGTCGAGTTCTCTAGAATGTCTAGTTTGGTTTGAGTAAGTGGCGTCTAACGGCCGATAAGCTATGCCTGGCTGATTTAGTTAAGCCCAATGAGGTGGGTGTAACTGTGTGTTATATTTGCTTAGCCCCAGTGTCTGTTCAAATCGAGTGCTATTCTTGAGGGCCTGATGTGGTTTTGGCTTGGAATCTTGTATTATATTATGGACTTCAGTATGATCAATAGCTACAATCGGAGAATTCAGGTGCTTAAAGATCGTACAACTCACGTAACACGTTAGTTGTAGCCTCCTATTTCGTGTAACAAAGTTCTAGTTTACGGGTTCCAAACCAGTATAATAATCGTGGCAGATTCAGCCGGGCAACATAACAATGAAGTTGGCCTTCTTGGTGGACATTAAATGCACAAACTTGGAACAATGTAACAAGTTTGTACCTGATGTATTTCCTGATCTCGGATACGTATAAACGACGTGGGGAACTGATATTTGCTAATTTACAAGTCTTTGATTCTACATTGGGTGGATGATCCACGCCGAAGTCTACTGCATACTGTGCGGATGGGCTATAGGTTCGCAATCAGCGCAGTTAATTAGCACGGTTGCATCCAAGTATGAACCAGTTGTCTCTTCTCAAGCAGTTTTGACAACAACTGCGAGGAGATCGGTAGAAATGAACAAAGAGCTCGATCTACAGCGAACAGGACAACTTTGAGGATGAATGAATCAGCGGACTGTGGAGGTGGATGTGTTGCGATGGCCTTTTGGCCAATTTACGGCCTTAACTAAAATTTGCCTTAGAATTAACCCCTTCGGAGTGTCAACATTCATCAGTGTCATCAAGTTATGCCTTGAGTCTTTATTCTAACAAGGTCCGAAATTATACCTATAGCGTAGTGAGAGTTCAGTCAACAGCTTCGGTGGACATGTTCAGCTGTGTGACTACCTCTACGATCAAAATATGATGGTGGTGGTGTAGGTGAAATGACCAGTGCTTGCGGCCAATGCGAAATCGCATGTTCAAAGTCATAAATCTTTTTTATTCACAGTCCGACATCGCCAGCTTTCAACAGTGCATCAAATTTGAGACCACTATATCGTCACTTGACTTGCATCGGGGTGGTTATTCCTGTTCCATGTTCAAATCGAATCTCCCAAGTCATTCTCAAAATAGTGCGACAAAATGGGAAGATGTTTCCAGGTTTCTCACTGAAGTCTGCCGAACCTTTGTCTTGCACAAGCCACGTACAGTTTATTGAAGTTATTCATTTGATGAAAGCAACAGATCTAGGTTTTCCACAAAAAAATTTAGGACAGGAAGTTTGCCTTCCACTCCCATAGCATCAAGGCCGAAATCTTAATTCCGACCATCAAATTTTAGAGGAGTACGTGGTGGCAGACATCGCACGCCCAATCAGAGACAGGCATTTTCTCTTAAAATTGACCTTTCGGTTTCCTCGCCATGATTGGCCAAGTCGGATTAAAAATATGCACGCTAATGCGGTGAAACCGCTTTAAACCCCCTAGAACCCAACTAAAAGATGGACAACAGTCTACTGAAGCATCTCCTACACGCATATTCCTCGACTACTGCCAACTAGCTGTCATTCAACGGGGAGAAATGCATTGAACCTATGTAAAAAAAGGCTTAATTTGACAACTGATTGCATATTTATGAGCCATAATAGAATTAAGCCTTAGTTGCACGCACATTTGTGTTTACGCCCTTTCCAGAGCCACAGGTAAACACTGCCTTGCAGCTTTGTAACCATGGTGAAGCTCCTTATTTAACGTGTAGCGTTTACAATGCGCCACGTTGATGAAGAAAGGACGATCACGACCAATAAGAAGCAGGCGCTTTGGGCTCGGGGACAATGTAAACTGAGGTGTTTTAGAGCAAAGGAACCGAATTGGCCAACCTTCAGAGTTGAGCCTAGTCATTGTAAACCATTAAAATTGACAGTTTGTAGTAGCTTGAGATTTAGCACTACCTTACAACCCTCTAGTTAATAGCCCGTAACAACCCGTGAAGAGAGGCGGCAGAGGACACAACCGTTTATTAGCGTCACGCCAGCCAAGTGCATGTCGTAGTGTATGTATGAGTGAGCGGATGACGGGCGTCTGATAACAGCAACCAATGAAAAGGGGATGAGTCATTGCCACCGTCAGGTCAGTACACAGGGTCCACTCAGGCGCGATCGCTTTTAATCCTCTACAGATGCAAATGTGATATGCTGCACTTCGGAGCTCCAAGGTTTGCTAAATACACAAACACTATAATAGGCTACTGCCCAAAGTGAGACGCAAGCGTCCCAAATCATTTGATTTAATGTTCCTTCTTGAAAACTATGCGCCTATTTGTGTCATTTTTCATAGTTTTTTTAGCAATACGTACCTGTGTGATCGAAAAACTCTCTCTCCTAAAAGGCTACAGTTTGAAGGACGTTTTTGGGTGCTGCGTTTTCTTCTTCATTTGAGAATATGCCGACTAGTGTTCCCCGTGCTTCGAACTAGTTTTACTAAAAGGTTTTAACACACGTTCAATTGCTGTGGCGCAATGATGCATTCACATTGTGATTGGTCGTCTTCCAGACTGTCCAGGACCGGCGATCTCATTGTGACTATCGTGGCAACACGACTAATGTCACCCCAGTAATTGACACACACATACACACACCAACAAAATGGGGAATTTCGGTTGGACGGATCAGACGTTTTCCTTGCGACGCCCCTCGACTCCACAACTTTCAGCATTCGCCAGTACTTACTGCTGAATTGACTCTAAGTAAACAGGTTTTACTAATGCTAATGAAATATAATGCGTGTTGGTTTATTTATATAAATAATCGTCATCAGGTCATCATCGGTCGCGATTTTTAAATGCGATTTCAGTTAACATTTCTGCTAACTCACGGAGACACAAAAATGGACATTATTGTCATCCATGCATGCAGAAAGTTAAAGGTCAAAAGTCAATTGTGCTGCATCGAAAGCTACGTTCACTAAACGCCACAACGACGCCTATTTCCTTGGGAAGAGTGCATGAAACTATGCAACGATTTACCTAGCCCCACTGGTCTGCCTTAGACTGGCCAAGCTACATCGATTTACTAGGTGTCAATTTAACCACTGGACAGTTTGGTGATTTAAGAGTGCTTTGCATTCTCAAACGCTGCGACTCTACAATTTACAACAATGTGGAGTTTTGGCATGAAGAAAAATACCGAAATAAAAATGCTATAATAATATTGCTACTTACATAAAACTAGTACAAATTATATGCATTCTAATTTCCAATGCTTTTAAACAGCTCCCGTTTCAAGCATTTTTACTTTCAGACAGGAAGCAATGATTTTGCTGCAGCACGAATAGTCTTGTGAATAACATGGGGTTCCACAGCGGTCTGATAATAGGCTCTCACCAAACTAAATCGGTCGAGCTTCTTAAAGGCGATTTCAGTTAACATTTCTGCTAACTCACGGAGATACAAAAATGGACACAAATAATCATACCCAGCACCTCACACTAATGAATGCTAACTGTGGCTGCGTATTTGTCTATGCCTTAGAGACCTTAAAAACGGCAAGAAGAGAATACCAAAATGAAACATGCTGTAATAATGTTGCTACATAGATAAAACAAGTACACATTTTATCCATTCTAATTTCCAGTGCTCTTGAACAGCTCCTGTTTCGACCGTTTCCATTTTCAGATGGGAATTAATGATTTTTCTGCCGCACAAATAGCCTCGTGAATAACACGGGGTTCTATAGAGGTCTGATAAAAGGCTCGCACCCAATTAAACCTGGAAAATGCAGATTTGCCGTGTACTTTTGACGACAATTCGTGCGGATTTGGCATGCGGTAGCAATCAGGAATGGTGATGACGTTGAAGAAACCACAAGCACCGCGGCGACGCCACTCACCACCGGCTTTCTTGGCAGTCATGTATGCAACTGCCGACCAGTCGCCGCGATGTCTTTAAAATTTCGATTTGCCGTCGAGTATCTGGTGAGGCAGTGCGGAATTACTCGGGAATTAGCAAGTTTTTGTGCATGACAATGTTGACCTGTGAGCTGGGATACTGTGGTCTCTTTATCTCCGCGGTAGAGCTTTAAAGGATCCAGCGTACTGTTGCAACGTTGTAGCCTAAAAACAGCTGATATATTTTGCAAGGGACACCCGACGGTTATACTCGTTAGGCGATCGATCAAACGCTTGCTCTTGAGGTCGAGTAGTGGACCAGAGTGGTTGAGAAAGTCAGCACCAATGAGTGGAGGAGATAGTGAAGATCCAAGGGAACTGGCTTTGCAGTCCAAGGTCAAGGGTAAGGGATTTCTATCTGTAGGTGGAGATGAAGGAAACAGTAAAGGCTGTCAAAAGGAAGAGGAATAGGAGGACGTTGGAGAAGCGAGGGATTTTTCGGCTTCTAAGTTGACCATGAGTTGCACACGTAGACGGTGACGTCACTACTGACGGGGGTTCGCGTTTCTCGTGTGCGCGAATTTACAACCGAAGGTTTCATGATACCAACAAGAACTTCGAGACGGTGAGCGCAAGGAAGACCTGTGGCGAGACTGCGAACGACTCCTAAATGAATTGTTGATTGTCAAGGCAGCGACTGCAGCTTCAAT